ATCTCTACCTGCTGAGCCATCACACCTGCCCTACTTACTTCTTATTTGAGATGAACTTTCTTGTATTTCAGTATGTTCTCAAGGTTGCTATGTAGTCCAGGATAACCCTGAACTTCTGATGCTCCTGCCTCTACCTCTCCAGTGCTGGGATCACAGATACTGTCTACCAAACCCAGCTCCTGTGGTGTTGGGGATCAAACTCTGGGCACCATATATTAGGCAAGTGCACTACCAGCTGAGCTGCAATCCCAGAAGTACACGAGGAACATAGGAAAGATGAGGTAGATGGGGTTCATGGAGTAGTTACCAGGATAATGTGATTTTCCTCCTTCCCAAGGCCACGGCAGAAATGAACATTAAGATTATAACATTTCTAGCATTTCAACGTGTGACAAGCAGTCAACATTTCTACAGGGAAAAGGAAAATAAAAATCTCTAAATTTAGTTATAAAATGCATAAAAGTAAATAATAAGCTAGCACTATGCCTGAGAAACATAATACACTGATATCCAAATACACAAGGAAACACAATCCTGGCCAGGTATGGTGGTGCATGACTCTAATCCCAGAACTGGGGAGACAAAGTCAAGAGGACGGACTCTGAGTTTGAAACCAGCCTGGTCTATATAGTGAGATCTAGGACAACCTGGACTAAACAGAGAGACATTGTCTCAAACAACCAATCACAAAACAACAGCCAAACCATAACCCTGCCAAGAACAGATGTGCCAGTCTGATGCACCAACTGATGGTTGCATTGATCTTAGCTATCTGTTTATCTCTTGAGTTTTCAGTCTCACTGAGGTGGTGTTGACACAGATCAAATAATCCCAGGCAAACTCCAAGATAAACCAATTATATTTTCTTTATTATAAGAGTCAAACTCATGAAACAGGAACAAGAAGTCCAACCTCAGTTGTGTACTGCAGGAACCACAGAGAGAGAGAGAGAGAGAGAGAGAGAGAGAGAGAGAGAGAGAGAGAGAGAGAGAGAGAGAGAGAGAGAGAGAACGAGAACCCAGCACGGGTCAGTGTTTTTCTCTGAGTATCCAAAAGGTCATGCCTTAACCTGGTCCCACTTCTTAAAGATCACTGGCTGACAAAGATTCTCCATCACCTTCCCCCTTTGTCTAAATAAGAGAGTTAAAAATCCAACACAAAACTAGGAACAGGTATAAAGTATAAAATTAGGATTACAACCAACATAGACAATATTAAGCAAGAAACACTTATTAAATGTTTTAATAAACACTTCTAAAGAGTCTAAGTCTTGCATTGGAAATGGCTTGGCTAAATCATAAGAGCAAGGTAACTATGAATCTTCAACCCCATCGAAGGGAAGGGAGATAACATTACTTGGGTAGGCAGGAAGTGCAATCAAGCAGCTTCCAAAGTGTGCAGTAAATGACAGAGAAAACTGGCTACCTGAGCAATCACCCAAAGTCTCATTTGCAATGTTGAAGCAACCAACTTTGGCTAAGGCCTAGAGTAACTAACAGACCATTTTCAGAGGCAGGAAAATTTTTAGAACTATCTCACCCGGTCTTGGCAAGGTTTGGCAGTCTTTTTCCTTGTGTCCTTCTAGTCCAGTCCGGACACCATGTACTTTGTCAGTGACCAAGACATGGGTAGTTCTTTGTCCAAAGGCCGATTGTACCAAGAAGAAAACAAGCACCAAGTGAAGTGTCCTTGGTGCTTCAACATTCTCTCGGGAATAGATTGGTGCTGTCTGGAGCAACCATGTCTCATGTCAACAGAACCCTAAGTTATTTAACTACCATGTTCTACAGATCCTTGAAGTGGTTGAAGATTACCTACCTATATAGAGTACAATCTCTATGTATCTAAAGAACATAATTAATCTGACTGTATTTATAACAAACATGAGTGACTACTGAACCATAATACTTAATACCATAGGTGGGGAAAAAAAAGAAAAAAAAAACTATGTATAAAGACCATGAAGCAAAAGTAAACTACTGCATTCTATATGTTATACGTATTATAAAATACCAATACCCTCAATATGTAAAGAATATTTCCTTATCAACAATAAAAAGGACCTATTAAAACACATGCAAACAAGACATGTAAAGAACTACAACAAGAGATATGCATAGGCAATAAGCCCATGAGGCGCCCAGATTCACAACTGTTGGAAGAGACACAATACACACAGCATGGGGTGTTTTTACCCTGTTGATTCTGAAAATGACAGCTAAAAGCTGCTTCATGTGGTATTTTATAGAAAATATCTCTAGATATTATTTTGGAAACATGTATCAAGAAGTTGACAGAGGGTTCAATGGCTGAACCACATTACCCGTGGTTACTGGCTGCTGGGGAGTAAGTCCTGAGTGCCAAGGCTCATGTATGTGTACTTCCCAGGTCAGCCAGACAACAAAGACATCACCAAGGGAACCAAACACCCGCCGCTATCCAGACTCTCAAAGTACCCACACAGCAGAAGCCAAGAGTCAAGAGTGTCCTCAATTATCGAGTTCAATTATTTATCAAATAGCTACAATAACTCTTTTTAGCTCTAGTTCATCACATCAACAGAATAGTTTTCCACGCTGCCGCTCCTCACCATAGAGTGGTTTATGAATAACAACTTCAAACACAGGGAACTTGACTTTCAGAGCATAATTTAGAGAATAAGAAATCAACCCAGCAAATGTGTTGATTTCTTAAGCAAAAAGCAACATGTCATTTTAGATTAATGTCCAGGTGTAAGAAGTCAATATAATAAAGTATCACAACATTTTGGTGAAAAGCTGTCTCTTACATACTGGACCCACAGTCCGGTCTTAGACCCAAGGACTAAACTGGGTACATTCTAGAGGTCTTATCAACTCTTACTAGAAGCAGAGAATGACATCCTCTGTAATGCCTACTGAGGGGGCCGCACTGCCCAAAGTATGACTATGACCCTGAGACACCATGACTTATGTCACAGTCTGACTTCCCATCCCAACTGATGTCTACAGTCCACAGAAAATCAACCAGGTTCTCTCGCAGATTAACAGAGTCAGGGTTGTCAAGATCCCTCGCCATGAAGCTGAGAAACATGACCATGTAAACGGGTCTTACTCATGCCTCAGACTGAAGACTGCCCAACAGCAAGGCTTTCCCTGTGAGTGACCTGAGGTGAGGACCACAGCTCTGGTCTGTAGGGACTGATGCCATGCAGCACCCAAGATTGAGTCTCAAGACTCAGAGGTCCCGATCTTTACTTTATTCACTGTTTCTTGCACTTACCATTACCGTTTCCTCATGGTGGTTTCCAGCAGGTTCCTGACTCTACTACCTGGAGCACTTCCCTCTGCCCTAAGCCCTGCCCTCGTTCCTGTCACAGAGATCTCAACCCTTCCACAGCTGCCACCCTGGCCTTCCCGTTTTCATCCCCAACCAGACAGTCAGAGTCTCTAGGGCAAGAACTGGGCTTTATAGTCTGTGTCTCTGGGTTCAGGAGCGTAGGGAACACTACAAAGTTAGTAGTGACTTCAGTCAGTCACTTAATGTATACAGAGTGGTGATCATAATGGACAAATACCTGTAACTGCTGTCAATTTAAAAATAACTTTTCAATGCTACAGCCCTTTCACATTTGTCAAGCAGGTACTCGGTATCTTTTCAGGAAACTCACATGAAAGTTTGCTAAGAGGGGCCATAAGCAAATGCTTGTTGCCATGAATGAGCGGAGCTGGGTATAGTGAGACAAGTAAGCTGGCAGGTGACTGCCATGCACAGGATTCTGGGGGCCAGAGACTCCAAAGCCGCAGTGCCCGTAACTTTTGGAATAAAACTGGCACGGATAAATATGCATGACTAAATGAAGGGGTGATGTTATGTAATGAAGGACGGAGGCTAACTTTCTCTTCACTCCAGGTTTTACTGCTTCCCAGGACACCACTATCCTTCCTTTCACCTGATGTGGAAACCTCATCACCATTGTGGGACGAGGGGAACAGGTCCAAGAGGGCATCAACCTCACCTTTCTGGAAGGGGCCAACTTTTACTTTGATTACTAACTACCTGTAATGGTGCTGACTTTGCCTTCTCTTCTGTTTGTAGGTACACAGGATGGTAAATGCCCAGCACCACAAGATACCACAAGGCACCGTCTGGGAGAGCCCATTCTCGGACTCTCTCCTGTTATTCCGCTTTCACCAACCAGCACCATTCACAGCCCTGTGGAGTTCCCCACACCGCCTTTAAACGCACCCAGCATTTCAGACGTGAGAGCTCCTTATTCCAAAAACCGGACATGCATGCTAACGTACCCCACTGAGCAAACCCCCCCAGACTGGATGGACCCAGTGGGAGAAGGGGCTTTTAGTTAGCAGAAACGAGGAACCTTCCTAAAGAGCTTCCACATGTGGAGAGAGATGAGTCTGCTCTTTACCTGGCTCCTCTGAGAAGCAATCGCATGAAGGCCCAAACTGCTGTCAATTATCTGCAAAGATGCTTCGCGAAAAACAAACATAATGCCAGTTGCTGTGACTGCTTGGAGGCCGAGAATTTCCAAATACACTAAATTCTTGCAAAACAAGACTTTCTCTAATGCTGAATGAAAAACCAACCCAAACCAAAGTTCTTGGAAGGAGAATAATGAACACAGATGCTTTACGGAATAAGAGATGGTTAAGATAGCACCCGATAGTTCATCCATGTACAGGTCTGTGCACCGTGCTCACAGCGTCTTCCAGTACTGTATGTGTGGTTGCCAGGCACTGTACCTTTACGAAAGATCCCTCTGCCTCTGAATGACCTTAACTAGCTGATCCGCATACAGAACTGCTCTCAGCACCCAGCCTGGGAACACTGTGGCCACTTATGGTTACACAGCTGTAGCGTGCCTGCTACATTTCCATTCACAGAAAAAAATGCATAGAGAGGAGACAGCCTGAGGGACTGGGCTTCAAGCCTGCCAAGGCAACACCATCTACCTGCAGCAGTACTTCGCCCCTCAGGTCACTCCTGAGGGGTGAGCTTACCTGAATTTGGTGAGATGTGTAAACTGCTCATGTCCTTGGACAGGCCATTGGTTTTAGGACTGGAGATGGGTGCACAGGCCGACGTGGCTCGGGGTGGCCTCTTCCCCGGCACTTTCACAGTGGTTCTCAGGAGGTCAATCTCTTTGCCGTGAACATTCTGCATGTAATCCTGTGTGAATGTTAAACACCCAAGAGAGATTAAAGAGAGGATGGGCTATAGCGTGGGACACAAGACCCTATCAATGTCATGACCTGTGGCTGCCATTTTCATCTGCAGGGTAAGAGTGACATCATTCTCATTTAAACCCACGCTGGGCATCTATGTCTTGACCTAACCTAGGACTGGGAATGGGGAGGACAAATAGCACAAAATCCTAGCTCTTTGAACTCTCGTTTTCTAGATGCAGTTTAGGAACCTGAGCTTGTACTGTGACTTCTGAGAATATTTCATGGGGATGGGAAAAAATTCATGAGAACAGTATCCAAACTTTAAGCTATGCGGGCTAGTTTTATCTTAACTTGACACAAAATAGAGTTATCTGAAAGAGGGAACCTCAGTTAAGAAAATGCTTCCTTAAGGTCTTTAATTAGTGATTAATGGAGCAGGGCCCAGGTCACTGCAGATGGTGCCATCCCTGGGCGGGTGGTCCTGGGTTCTATAAGAAAGCAGGCTGAGCAAGCAATGAGGAACAAGAAAGTAAGCAGCTTCCTTCCATGGCCTCTGCACCAGCTCTCACCTCCAGATCCCTGCCCTGCATGAGTTCCTGTCCTGACTTCCTTCAGTGACGAACAGTGATATGAAAGTGTAAGCCAGATAAACCCTTTCCTCCCCAAGGTGCTTTTGGCCATGGTGTTCCATCACAGCAATAGAAACCCTAATAAGACATAAGGACTGAAGGTGTTTGAGGGACCAGCAGCAAGGTAGTAAAAACGACGACGACGACACAGCTGCAAGTGGACACTGACACTAGTGTGCATGCTTCCCATTAGCTTCAGAAGCAACACCCATGGTCTCACTAGTGTGAACAAACGTGCCAGAGTGCGTGGGGAAAAGCCCACCAGTTCTCCATCCTACACAAAAAAACTAAAAGCTGAGGAAAAGCTGGGAGCAGGAGAGGTGGCCTTCTCCAATTAGCTGTCCAATGCCAAATAGCCCTGAAAACATGCATAGAAGTAACATTATACAGACATAAGCCCCCCCCCCGCCCCCATAGGCTCATGTGTTTGAACAATTGGTCTCTGGCCATGGATGTTTTTTGGGAAGGTTGTGAGGCCTTTATGAAGTGAAGGCTTGCTGGAGGAAATGAGTTGCCAAGGACAGGCTTTAAGACTGAATAGCCTGTTCTCACTTCCTGTTCACTCTGCTCCCTGAGAACAGAAGCAGTTTGACTAGCAGCCTCCTGCTCCTGCTACCAAGCCTCCCTGCTCTGATAAACCATATCCTGCTGGAACTGTAAGCTAAGGCAGAAATCCCATCCTTCCAAAAGTGCTTCTTTTCAGACATTTGACCACACTTTCCCAAAGGAAGTTAACAAAATAAAGCAAAGCAAAAACCTAGAAACAAATCCACCAAACCCTTGGCCCTTGTGTCAGAAGCCAACAGCCAGCAACTATCAGAGGGTAGCCTGGGCTAAGTCAGTTAACTCCCAGTCACACAGTGGAACAAACACAACACCTGGGAACAGCCGAAGGAAGGGAAGGGCAGGCAGAGTTTGGTGAACATCCGTGAAAATGGACTGCGTGCCCAAAGCTTAGCGGGCGGCTGCGATGCTGTTGGGAGGTGGTGACTCTCTAAGAGATGGGACCTGGTGGGGGAGCTACGTCACTAGGGTGTGCTCCTGAAAGGACACTGGGAGGCCAGTCTGCCTTCATTCCCCTCTTCCCTTCCCGATGCCTGCTGCTGTGAGGTGAGAAAGTGTCTCTGGCCATGATATGCTGATACAGGCTCAAACCCACAGGGCCAAGTGACCGTGGACAAAAGTCTCCAAAACTATAAGCCAAAATAAAACTTTCTACCACAGAAGTTGATTACCTTATGAGTATTTGGTCACAGAGATTGAAAGTTGAGAGGCACAACAACTGAGCCAGGGAACAGGGGCTGACGGGCACACTGTCCTCCATCATCAGCACCACCATCATCCTTGTCATCCCCACCACGGCTGTCCGTCGTCACCGCTGCAGCCACCAACACTACCACCACCATCACCTTCTCAATGAGGCCTCTTGTTTAGAGACCTGGCATTTTTCCTATGCTAGAAGTGGGAAATAGGCTTCTGGGGACCCAGAAATTTGTGTTTGCTCTCAGTAATTAAGTTCAGGTTGGGGTAATGTTAGAAGTGAGTATCCATCTTACATGTTGGCTGATGAGCCCAGCAAGCTGGGAAAGTGAGCCGGTTGTCCTGAGCACCTAAGAGTGCAGCAAACAGATGCAGACAGATCACCCACACAAGTCAAATGGGGGGTCAGGGGCCATAGTCTGCTGGAGAACAGCAGGGCATACCGACGGAGTTGTATGGGCACGGGGAGTGGCATGAAAGTCACTCCTGGGAAGGAGGCAAGCCATCTAATTTAACTGCACAAGGATGTCCACGGCCTAGCCGACAAGGTTCTGGGAAGACACCTATGATGGTTAGCCTTGACTGTGTCACCTTGGTTGTGCTGGGAAGTGGCTAGGACAGGCATGAACTGGACTCTACGTATGCTGTCAGGAAGCTGTGGGGGCTTAGCTGAGGTGTGAGGTTTTGCCATGGACATGGTGATACTATGCCACATGGAGAAAGCTGTTACAGGATTTATTCGCTGGCTCCTGGCCACCATAATAGGAGTGGTATTTCCCGGGCCACATGCCCATGATGGGAAGATGTGGGTCAAAGATGGAAGGAGTTATCCTCATGGAGTCAGTCTGAAGACAGTGTGGACTCTTATGGGAGAAGCTTGGTACCCAAGACAGCAAATGAGTGTCCACCAGGGAAGAAAGGGACGCCAGGTGGGGCAGGTCATTAGAAAGAAAGGCTGCTTTCATCTCTTATGCCTGCCGTTAGTAGGCACACACACGCAAGCCCAAGTTTCCAAACAGAGTTCTGCCTGCAAACAAAGAATTCCTTCCTGCGGTTACTCCTTTAACATACCAACTTGCTGCAACTTTCTCCTTTAATGCCGATTCTTAACAAATTAAAATACAATAACAGGAGTGTAATTGAGCATTTATTGCTTATGAGTTCTAAAATGAGGCTAATCAGAGAGTGACTAAGCCCCAGCGTGGGCTCTTTTAATAGGCATGTTTTAACATACAATAACCAGGATATTTTACTTAAAATTATTGTAGAAATGTAAAATCTGTTTTCCAGATCTGAACACGCCAAGGGAAGACATTTATCTTGAGCCCAGCATGGGCTGGACGATCTGTTTTCTTGCCTGTGTTAGGCACTGCAAGCTTCAAAATTGGCTCGAAGAAAATAATGCACCAAAGGCTGGGCAGAAGGCTCAATTGGTAAAGTGTTTTCTGGGCCTAAGCTTGACCACCAGCATGACTGTCTCTGGTCTCATGGCTGGGGAGGTAGAGATAGGACCACCCTTGGGCTAACTGCCCAGCCACTCTAGTTGTGTTCCAGGTGGGGAAAACAACAGAGGAAGACCTTCAACACTGACTCTTAGCCTCTGCAGATTTGTGTGTAAACACACACACACACACACTCCAACCAACAGAATGAAAACCAGACGTTCACTTGGCAATTCCTATGTTTCCATTCTGCCTAGTTTCTTCTCCCAAGAGAAATCTGCCCGAGTTTGATCCTGCTTCTACAAGAACAGGGCCTTTTCATCTCTCCCCAGCTTGGTACTTGAGGAATTAAAGCTGCAACCACTAAACAATGTGGTGCCTTCAGAAGCAGACCAGACATGCAGACCCAGGGTGAGTGCAAGGTAGGGACCTCACTGGGTAAAATAAAGACAGCAAGCTTATTTTGATATGCAAATACTACTCAGATACCCTTCTCCACGTTAGCTGCAGAAAATGCTGATCGAAGATAAAAGAGGGAAAAAACCCTTTAACAAGGCGTGAGGGTAATTCAAAGCCAAGTACTTTTAAACAGCACTTAACAAGTCCCTGGGGCCCACTCAAGAGCCAGGCCCCCCAGACGTGCCATCTCTTGCCCCTCAACAGCTTGAAAAAGTAGTAATTGCAAACCTATTTGCATTTTCCTCCTCAACTTGTCCACGCTTAACATGCGGATTCTTTTTTTTTTTCCAAACAGGCGCCAGAGCAAAGGGACCCGTTCCTGAACGCGCCAACAGCTCGACGACCATGCCTAGCTGTCCCCCTGCACCCTGCGCCTGAACCTTTGCCTTCTCCTGTTTTTTACATTTTGCTCCTAATTATGTTGCATCTATTGCCGTACACTTAATTAGCTGCATTAATGTGATTTCTTTTCACATAGTCAAGCAATTAAGAGCTATGATTGAGTTTCATTCAATTAGCCTCAACAAACATGCTAATTGATGTCCCAGATGCAAATGAGGTGCAATGAGAGAGACCTGCGTGCAATTGAGAGCCACGTCAAAGACCCAGGGCTCTCAGCTTGCTGACAGAAGCACAGTTTAACGTAGCTCCCGCCTTCTGTGGGGGTGGCCTTAGGAGAAAGATGAGGGGCCATTAGTGCCTCTGTGTTCCAGATCATTTTGGAGACTGAGGATTCACTGTTTGGCTGCTGTACAATGTGGCCTCACACTTCACAGATAGGTGTCCCCGGACTGGAAGCTGGGTAACATTTGGAGGCTGCAAGCAGACTGCTGCACGATCCCCACCAGCAGATAGTTACAAGGCTGTCACGAAATTTCCCCAAGAACCTCAAAAGCAATCCCAGCCATCCCGGAGCCCTCTGTGTGCGTGATGGCCTCGCTCGTCTTCAGTAAAGGGGAAGTTCATCTTCGTCACCTCTGGGGCATTTGGCACTTGAGTTAAGCACAAAATACAGCAATCCATCAATAGTCCCTAAAAATATTCTTAGCAGATCGATTCTGGCCGCCTCGCATCTGTCTGTGAAGGATGGTTTGCTGATGCACTCACGGGGTTGGCCAAGGCAGTTAACACCATCTTGAAGCCAAAGCAAAATGCACAAACTATGATCTGCACCCCAAACTAGATCCACCACCAAGACAAGGCCCAGGAAC